AAAGTAACTGTTGTAGATACTGGCGACGGAAAATTTTAGTTCCATGTGAAGTACGAATCCTCGATGCCAATTTGTTGTGACCAAATGAATGATTGCGGATTAACAAAAATGTGTTTGCAGATAAGTATTATTTTGAACACATAAATCACAAAAACATGAACTTAACGTTAAATATAAAATTAAAACTGGTTTCAAATTTATTTTCAATGTGTTTCCATTTAAAATATTGATGGATAAATAAGAGAAAAAATATACACAGTTATTTCGAAATTGAGGAATGTCCAATTTTGTTTTCAAATAGAAGTGCATTTTTGTGTGTAGAAATGTCTTTTGATTTTAAAGATAAAATAACTATTTACAAAGAAATAATATGTACAAAAGTAACTAAGGTTAGCTCCAAAAGAAACGTGTAAAAGAAAAATATGCACAAAACCATCAGACACACCTTGCCAGCATCTATGCCGAAAGAGCTCTGCGTAATACATGGGCAATGGCAGACAATACCATTGTTGGACTTCTTGCAAAGAAGATTTTTCAAATATCATGAACAGAAGAGTATTACACGACTTGAGAGCGTGTGCTTACGCCTGTCCTCGAAAGTTAATCTCCAACCAGTCTTATACTCAGTGGAAGAATCCACAATCGACTCATTGGAGGTAGGACGCTACAACAGTATCGGCAAAAAAAATCGATGCCTATTCACAATACAATTAAAAAGGTTCGAGGATTATTTGGAAGTGCTAATATTACAGGCGTTTTGTTAGAGATTTTGCAGAACTAACATATAATTCAACTGACAAGTAAGAATGCCATGTTCAAGTGGACAGATAGTTGTCAGTGAACTTTTAAAAGATAAACTTTGTTCAGTATCTATGTTCGCATACCCGGATCTGAATAAACCATATAACCTCTATTCAGACGCTTCAAATTCAACTATTGACGCGTGCCAGACACAAACTCAGTTTGACGAAGTATCAGGGTAGGAAATAGAAAAGCCCCTTTATTTTCTATCTAACCGATTAAGCGATACACAAATACGCTGGTTGACTAAGAAGCGTTTGCTAGTGTTGACGCATTACAAAAACTAGACCACCTCCTTCATCATGCGAAATTTATAATATATACGGACCACAAGCATCTTCAGTACATTTTGAAGTCGACAATACAAAATAAAAAGATTCAACTGTGGGCCATTAGTATCGAGGGATATGATTTTAGGGTAGAATATTTAGCAGGTAGAAATAATGTGTATATCCCGACCACCCAACCCAACAGTGGATAATGATTTTAAGCCATTAGACATGGAAGTTCGTACGTATGAGGTAGCAGTAATTAACTCCAATGAGTTCGAACCGCAAGATTTTGCATCGTATAGCCTGGAAGAAAACTCAATTACGAATGAAGTGAAACCACAAATACAGGGTGTAAATATTAATTTAGAGCAAGATCCAAATAAGTATATTAAGGAACTGAAACACCGCATTAAAACAGGTAGCGTAAGTGTTAAGGAAAGGAATAAGTATGTTCTGCTAGAGGATATACTTTATTACATATCAAATCCAGACGATGAACCTACCGTACGATTACATGTCCCAAATCATCTTCGTATGAAGATTATACGACTGTATCATGATGAAAACGGACACGTAGGAATAGAAAAGAGTTCGAGAGCTATGAGGTGCAAATACTTTCAGCCTGGTATGTATAAAGACATCGCCCACATTAGTACGTGTGTCTCATGTCAATCTAGAAATCTCCAAAAAGTAAATCCTGGTCCCGGCACCAATATTTATGCCCGGTGAGTTGCAGCTCAGACCAGACACCAGTTATTTTGACAGTATGCATTTTCTTGCAGTCAAAGGCTTGTGGCTTAAAAATTACCCTTCGGCTACATGTTTACTCAAGATTGTGAAACAATTTCTAATAGATTTTATTAGGTAGTACTTTACTAATACAAGCGAGCGAAGGAGGGATGAAGCGTAAATGAGCGGGATGCACTTCAACAGCCGTCCTCTATGCTTCTGCGTGGCCTGCGTTGTTCTTTCTGTCCTCCTTTGCGTGGAATGGTTATTTTTATAAATAACAGTTTTCTTTGTCCTGTCATCTTCTCTTGCTCTTGTAGTTTGAAGTTGACTCCGATTACTAATAGCCGTCATTTGAAAGTAAATGTTCCGTATCGAGTTGTATTAAATTTAACTCATATAGTTACATCAAGTATTTCCTTTGATTATTAAGACGCTGAAGAGTATCCTTATGTATAAATATGGAATTATCTACGTCACACGTATCGCTAGCAATGGTTTCATCTGTATGTATCGCATTCCTGAGAATGTGTCAAGCCGGTCGGTATATTAGCCACACGTTTCGTTTCTGCTCACTAACTTTTTCTGTAAAACGATAACTTTGTATTTACTTTTCGAATTAAGATTTTGACATTTGAAAAGCTTAATACTATTATTTTGATTATATGTACTTATCATCTTTAAGCTTTTCTACATTTGATCAGAGTTTAGTACCTGCATGATCACTGATATGTGTGTGCTGAAGTCATGCTGACTAAGAAACTTATATTAAATATTAAAAGGAAAGGAATTTAAAATAAAAATGAAGAAGGAAAAGAAAGCTAGAATAGGGTATGAAGAAGAGAAGGAGATAAGAAAGCAAATGGAAAACGAAAACAAGTAGGCGAAGTAAAACAAATATACATAGAGAAGAGGAAGCGACTGAGAAGAAAGAAACTCAAGGAAACTGATTTGTTTTTTAGGGATTATCAAACTTTTCTGGGTTATTTAAAGCCAGAATTATTTTTACATTGTAAAATTTATGAGAGATAATAATTGTTTAGTGATGCAACTCTTACTGATTAACTCATATCTTTTTTTGGGGGTGGGGGGAGAGGTTGATTCATACCTTTCCTAAGAGTATATCCGCGAATATAGCAACGAACCCAAAAGGAATTGGAGCTCGGCTCTCCGATTAATAATTCCGAGCCATTATCCATTACACCACCCGCACATCCAAGCCGAAACTCAGAGAAAGAAAGGATTGCAATTTGGATATCCAGAGATATTAAAACGTAGATAGGGATCTAAATTTTAAAAATTGTGATAAAATAAATTATTTATAAAGAGATAGATCGAAGGAATGATAAAAGAGAGGGTGTATTAATAAATATTTCTGAATTATTTTATTCGTTTTTTTTGTGGGGGGGTGCGTGTGAGACAAATGCATTTAATATTAGAAGCCTAAGTAAGAACTGACGAGATTACCGGGAGATACCGACAATGATATGGGAAAAGAGGTGTGTGTAGACCTTGTGCTAAAATACAAGAAAGAGGCATTTTAAACATCAGATTCTGTCTTTTAGGTGACATATTTTTATAGTCAAGGATCTTCCTTCTTTTTTTTTTTCGCACAGAATCGAATGAAGAAAATAAGATAAAAACACAAAGTTAAATTTAGATTCTAATCAACCGTCATTTGTTGACAGCTTTATTGGTATCTCATTTCTCTTTATTTCTCTCTATCGCCATGTTTTTATCACATTTTATTTCTCTCTTTTTATCACTCTCTCTTTCTCTTTCTATCACTCCCTTTCTCCCTCTCCCTCTCCCTCTCTCTCTCTTTCTCAATGGCGCATTTTCCCTATCATTTTGTGTCTCTGGTATTGTCACTGTATTTGCCTTGCTCTATCTCGCTCTCTCTCTCTCTCTCTCTCTCTCTCTCTCTCTCTCGTCCCCTCTCTGATATTTACATTCTCTTTTTCGCATCTGTTTCCCAATCCTCCTCTTTCTCCATCTCTCGCTCTATCTCTCTCTCTCTCTCTCACACACACACACACACACACACGCGCGTGCGCACACACACACACACAGAGATTGTCACCATTTTATATCTATCTTTGCCTCTTCTTTTCCTTTTTTTTGTTTCTCTCCTGTTGTCACCATCATTGTTTTTCTCTTTATCTACATCACGCTATGTCTTTTCTCTCTCTCTCTCCCTCTCTCTCTCCCTCTCTCTCTCTCTCTTTCTTGCATCTACCCCTCTCACATTTTCTCTATATCTTATTAGGTTTCTTATATCATTACTTTGTCCTTTTCGTTCTCTTTCTTTCTTTCTTTCTTTCTTTCTTTCTTTCTTTCTTTCTTTCTTTCTCCACCCTTGTAATTTTATTTTTTATTCCTCCTTTATTTTTTTCATTTATCAAACATCGTTTTATTCTTTCTTTTTTTGTTTTTTGTTTCTTTCTCCTCCAGTCTCGCAATTTTATTTGTATTCCTTTTTTTCTTTCATCGGTTTCATTTTCTTTCTTTCTTTCTTTCTTTCTTTCTTTCTTTCTTTCTTTCTTCTCCCTCGCTTTCTCTCTTTCTCTCTCTCTCTCTTTTTCTCTTGCTGTCATTCCGACTTGTTGCCCATTTTTCTGTCTATCTCATTCTCTGCCTTTTTCTCTCTCATTCCCCCCTCTCTCTCTCTCTCTCTCTCTCTGTCTTGCTCTATTATTGTCACTGTATTTATTGTCATTACTCGTTTTTATTTCCCTCTCTCTTTGTCTGTCACTTACCATCTCTCTCTTTTCTCCCTCTTGCTGTTACTCTCATTATCTTGCTCTCCCTTTTTTTATTTCTATTTCCCTCTCTTCTCTCTCGTTCTCGCATTTGTTCCATTCTCTCTTTGTTCCACCTTATCATTGTCACTGTCTTTATTGCCATCACTGTCTTTTTTATTTTCCCTCTCTCTTTGTCTATTACTTACTATTACTATCTCTTCTCTTCTCTCTCTCTCTCTCTCTCTCTCTCTCTCTCTCTCTCTCTCTCTCATTATCTATCTCTATCTCTCTTCATCATTCTATCACGCTTTACGTCCGGGCGTTACGTGTGTCTCAGTTTAACAATGAAATAGAATTAATGCTATCTTTAGATGACCGCTAAACATTCAGATATAAACAAATTAAGATTGCTAATGATAACATTCTACAGAAACACGTGAGTTCATATAATCTATCATCTCTTGAAAGACAAAATATCATAAAAATTAACGCATCCGTAAGGAAGAAAATTGATGAAGATAGATAGATAGATAGATAGAAAGGCCGTGTTAGATAGATAGATAGATAGATAGATAGATAGATAGAGAGAGAGAGATTGAACAGACTGAGATAGATAGATAGATAGATAGATAGATAGATAGACCGTGTAAGATAGATAGATAGATAGATAGATAGATAGATAGATAGATAGATAGATAGATAGATAGTGAGAGAGAGAGGGATATTGAACAGACTGAGATAGATAGATAGATAGATAGATAGATAGATAGATATAGACAGGTAGATATGAATAGACTGATATATGTATATACTGAGATAGATAATATTAGACTGATACACACACACACACACACACACATATATATATATATATATATAGATAGATAGATAGATAGATAGATAGATAGATAGATAGATAGATAGATAGATAGATAGATAGATAGATAGATGTCTATATCTCAGTGATGAGGTATTATGATTACTTGGATTATTTACATTATTCAGACTGTTATCCTTATCTTCGTTGCAATAGTCACGTTTCGGACGTTGTACGCCCTAGCCTTCTTCAGGTGATTGGAATTTCGATTCGAACCGTTTATTTCGTCCACCGGTGTAGTTTTTTCTAGTTCCTCGTGCTATGTCCTCAAGAGACACGGCTGATAGAAAGAAAGAAAACGTTTCCTGTCTTCGTATCCAAAGGTGACAATGTTCTTAATATAGATCATTTCCTCTTTTCAAATATTTTCTTTCAGTTAAATTCCTTTTCCTTTCTTATAAACATTTTAAACTTTTCTCAAATTTCTTATTGTGAAATTTAATTTTATTCTACGTTCTCTGTTCAACTTTTAGCAATTTCCAACTTTGTGTTTCTGTCAGTCAATAGCTTTAAAATATCGTCTTTTTCTTTTAAGGTTATATTTTTCTTACGACTGATGGAAATATCTATATTTGAAATTTAAAAAATAAATATAAAAAAACTGGAAAAGATGTTTGAATAATCCAAAACCGGGAGCAAACTGCGTGCAATTGGATAGAAAATAAATGAAGTAGCTATACAAAAATAGAAAGGGGAGTGAACAAGATTTATTCACTCTCTACGTTATCCTAAGGGAACTGGAGACTCTATCTGGTTTTATTATCGGTGGGTGTAATCCTAACAGAATAAGATACGCAGATGATACTTTGTTGATGGTCTACACGGAAAGGAATCTACAGGACATCCTAGTAGTAAAATAAAGCGATAAAAAAAGGACTAATCATCAAGTTCAAGAAGACAGAGAGTATGGTTATCAGCAAGAGGAAAAGCCCAAGATGTGTGTTATGAACTGGAGATAACAACATCAAGCAGGTGCAGAAGTTCAAATATCTGGGAAGTGTTTAAACAGATGACACCGAAAGTACGCATTGAACTAGCGAAAGAGGCATCCCAAAAGGTATGCAAGGTGTTAAAAAACGGAAAATAGTGTTAGAAAAAAAAGTCCTGGATTGTTATATCCATCATTTATGTGACAGTTAATCTGGAGAAAATCCCCCGGAAATGAGGAAAAAAAAAACAGAGGCAAAAGAATTGTGGTTCTACAAACAGATACTTAAAATTCCATGTACGGAACAAAAGTCTTAAGGAAAATGGCAACAGATTGAAAACTTATACTCAAAATCAGGAAAAGATAGCTGAAATTTCCTGGACACATAATGATGGCTTGTAAAAGTTACCCATCATGGCGTGTATATTGGGAGCAAGGAAGATAGCAAGAGAATGGCAATGAGCTACTTAGTTGACTAGCTTGTGCGAATAGATGGCAGAATGTAGATGGAGATATTAACAAAAGGATGAAAATTACTAAGATCCACAAACGAGTATATATATATATATATATGTGTGTGTGTGTGTGTGTGTGTGTGTGTGTGTGTGTGTGTGAGAGAGAGAGAGAGAGAGAGAGAGTTTTGAACAATAAAAATAGGTTGTATATTTTCTTAATCCTAACTGTATAAGATATGCAGATGACACTGTGTTGATGGTCTACACGGAAAGGAATCTACGGGACATCCTAGTAGTAAAATAAAGCGAGAAAAAAGGACTAATCCTCAACTACAAGAAGACAGAGAGTTTGCTCATCTGCAAGAGAAAAAGCCCAAGATCTGTGTTACGAATTGGAGATAACAACGTCAAGCAGGTGCAGAAGTTCAAATATCTGGGAAGTGTTTAAACAGAGGATGGAAAATGCGGCACCGAGATCCGAAGTACGCATTGAACTAACGAAACGAAGCATTCGTAAAACTAAAAAGAAGATGCTGAAGAACAGAAAAATTTCTTTAGTACATAGTACCTCAATCCACTTAAAAGTACTCGTTTTAATATCGCTTTTATTTTTTTAACACATTCCACAAAGCTCTCTTTTTGTATTTTCTTAATCATGTCCATAGTCTGAAATCCCTTCCATTTCAAAGACGATTTCAGCTTTGGGAAGTCCCGTGGAGACAATTTTGAAATGAAGTGTGTGCCTGACACAAGTGTATGATGCAATGTTTTGTTTTTTAAAAAATCTACAAAATGAGAAGTGTCAGAAGTCGCAATATTCAAAGGTATAGCGTTTTGAAAGCCTTATGCGAAGACATGCGGCTTGTGTTGACAAATCTTTTCTTCTAAACAGAAAAGGTACTCATCACGTGGATAATATTCTTGTAAGAATCTTTGAATAGCGTAAAGAATTATCGGCATATTTTATCGATCATAAATTTTGATTGTTCAACACATTTACAGATAAGGTATGTCTTTCAAGACTTAAATTCTTTGCTGATATCTTTTATCAAAATTTGAATGAGTCATATTTATTTCTGCGAGCGAAAGAAATCAATATTTTAGAAGCCCAATATAAAATTCTATCATTATCACATAAATTACTGTTCCGAATATCAGTTGCGTAACAAAAACCTTTTTAAATATTTCTCAATTGTTAGTGACTTCCGTCAAGAATCTGAATTTCATTTAAAACTTGAAATCTAAACTGATATTAAAAATAATCACAACAGTTTATTAAAATCTGGAACTGAATATTTTCCAAATTTGAAGAATAAGATAATGTTTGTGCTGTTAATGCTAATGGTAATATAGTCGCTTATTTAAGCCAAATTTTTTCTCATCTCAATTAGTGAGACCTCAATTGCTAAACGAATCTACGACAGTTGGAACTCTAGTTCTAACCACACGCGAACCTTCTCACTCACACCCACATGCTGATGATAATTTGTACACCTTCACTAAAAACTTCTTTTGATACAACAATAATTTTCAACAGTAATATCACAAGAACAATCATATCATGAAACATTCATGAACATTTATCTAGTGAACTTTAAACCAAATAGTTATCTCTCACGGAACTCTTAAATTGCAATCAAAGGGAGACAACTCTTGATTAATTCAACCTTTCTTATTTTAATGCATGTTTTCTTTCACATTGTTGTTTGATATTGTACATCTTGTTAATATACATATATCTTATGTGGAACAGTGTCTTATGGTTATTCTTCTTGCATGAGTCCTGTTTTCTTATCAAAGTTAAATTAATGTGGTGAAGTACCTTACAATATTATTGCTAGAAATGAAAGAGCACAATGTGTATTTAATATTTGAAAATAGTGAATACAGGACAATTTCCTCACAGATGATGAGGAGGTGAAGTAAAAATGATGCAGTTTTATAGAAAGGTGCTGAGAAAACATGGACGGGGCATATGAACAACGAGGAAGTTTTAAACAAAATGGAAGCAAAAAAGACATTTATATTTAGAATTAAAAATACACAGTTGAAACTTCTTTTACACAGTGGGCTGAGAGAATTTGGCTCTCACTAGACATTTTGAAGGCAAGTGGTGCATGTGTAAACGAGTTTGTGCCAATAGATTTCTGAACAGGGTTTGAGAGGGATAGTAAAAAGTAGAAATTGATAAGAGCTACTAAGGTTGAGAAGCTGTGGAAAGCCATGATCGCCAACGCCCTTAAAGGATACGTGTCATATAAAAATAAGAAATATTATTTTAATAAATCAGAAGGGAAATATTCCAAACCTATCAATGGTAACAATTTGAAGGCAATGGTATGAAACGGTTAAAATATTTATCGGATATTTTGAGGCCATCATTTGCGATCACTTCATATAATGTAAAAGCAAGAAAGGACATCCATTTTCTTAACCTTAATTAAATTGAACAAGGACTAAAAATAGTCCACTCTCAAAACCAGATCAACTTTATAATCCTGAACATAATTAACGTCAGGATCGTTAATTATCTTCAGTATTATCAAGTTGATCTGGTTTTGCATTTTCCTAAATTTTCACGGAACAAAAGAGTTTTTATCGATATTAATAAAGATTCCTCATGGATGGATGCGTAGGAGAAGCCAAAACATCAACTGAAACTGCACTTCGAAGATGAGCGATTGATTTAATAATGCGTTGATGTATTCTACTTCCTCGCAAGCTCAAAGGACTGATGCATATAGATTTATAAACCCCATTGAAATATTGTATATGATACTCAACCAAACAGCGCTCAATTTCTTTACTTTAAGAAAAGTGATTTTGATAAAACATGAAGCCGGTCATCAAGTTGCAAAAATGGCATCTTCTCTATTTATATGGATACAAAAATGACATTAATTGATATTGTATTGCACATCTATTGACACAGCCTTCTTCTTATCGGCTTCCACTTGCAATGCATCTAAACTTATTTTACATAAGCATATATTTCTCAATAGTTTTAGGTGATATAATAGTTAACAAGCTTGTCTCTCTAGAACAATTACGACTGAGTATTGAGTTCGATCCTCACTGGCTGCCCCCAACTTTCGGCCTTGTACCACGTCTAAGCTATGCTTAGAAGGTCGCTATATTTCTCAACTGTTGAAGGCTTCAATGAGTTTATCTGTTTTTTGAAAGAAGTAGATTTTAAGTTAAAAAGCTGATTATATGTTGCGAGAATGAAATAAATGTACAGAGACCGAAGGGAAATGTTCTAATTGAATAAATTATTTTTTCTATGAATTTTTAAAAGTTTATTCTAATTCAATAATCGGTAGTTTAATTTTGAATCACGTGATCTCAAAATAAACCAACCCATGAATTCGTAAACTGTCGCGGTACCATGATGGCGGTAACCCCGATGACTAAACCGAATAAATATTTCAAAAACAAAAATGGAAACATAATTATAGGAATTCAATAAATTTACCACACTTTACTCATACTCTCAAAAAGATTTTAAAATGTTAGAAATAAAGTTGATATTGTTCACTGAGAAAACTTGGAAATTCCCATGTAAATAGTCCGACATTATTACATATTATCACTACGCATTCGGCGAAAAGGACTATAGTTTTATAACCTTTCAATAAAAAGAAAATATAATTGCAGGAACTAAAGGATTTAACCGCCTTTTCCACAGACTGAACAATTTGGAGAGAATGAGCATTGGACTTATTTATTTATTTATTTTCTCGTTACGAAATCTTAAATTATAAAGTTGGCATTCGAATCTGTGTGTAAGCAATTTAGGTTTTTACGATGAAATATAGCCTATTAGCACATCTCAAGATAAATGATGGCCATTATCTTCCCAAATCTTATGTGAGTAATTGCTGGTTAGTAACTTTAGTCGTAGAGATAAGAGGCTGTTATGCCTTCGGTAGGGATTTCAAATGTACTCTCTGTGTGTATGCCTAC